AACAATTATATTCGGTCGTGCTCATGTAGCCACATGTTTTCGCTTCTTTCTAGATTTAGGTAGCCTGATAAATACACATCTCGACAATGGACATATTAGAATTGTTAATTGTGCAGCGACAACGGGCCGGCGACGTTCTTTTTGTGAGAAGTGAGAACGTGGCCGTTGTGAGATTTGGCCCAACGATAGCCGACGGCGTGGCTCGAGATCAGGGTCAAGCGAGGCGTCGAGGAAAATTTGGAAATACGACCCCCCCCCCCTCCCTCCGCCAGAGGCCGAAGTCCATGAAACGACCCTCTTCAAAAGCCGAACTATGAAAAGGTATTTAATTCTCCACCAAAACTGTTCATAAAAAAGCCCTGCTACTCCACCGTTCCACGGAAAAAATTCGTTTAAGAAGTACAAAAGTGAAAAAGTCAAAGAATAATCATTATTGATGAGTCCTACCAAACGAGCAAACGAGAAACGGAGCAAAAAAAACGTCAAACTAGTCACTAAAAATGGCATACTATGACAACATCTCTTCTTTATTTATTTCATTCGCAAGACTTACCAAATTCTAGTACTACACAGAAGTATGCTCTCAATCTACACCTCCCCCTTTCAGTTGAAAGAAGCTTGTAACCGCCTTAGCCAGCTGTGTGCTGACTGATCTTTGGCGTTGACCGTGGAGCAGCTTATTTACTATTGAAATTTGAACAAATATTCAAATGATTATAACTTTCTTCAAATATGACGAATTTTCAATCTGAAAGCAGATTTGGAAGTTTTGTGAAGAGCTCTTTCTAATCAGTATTGAAATTACAAAAATTTATGAAGAAATAACAAATTTAGATCAATTAACGAGGAAAATTTATGATGAGCACGAGTTTTTACTTTCCGAAGCCATAACTTGCTTCATTTCGTCAAATCCGAAAAGTTAATATGTCAGACAAAACTAGAAGATTTTCTCTATCAAATGGTTGCTAAAGCAGCTTTATACGTCCAGTACCTAAAAAAATGGCCACGTTGAGGATTTTTGCAAAATTAACGAGGAAAATTCGTGATGAGTGCGAGTTTTTACGCTTTCCAAAGCCATAACTCCGTTCAAACTCATGCAATCTGGAAAGTTAATACGTCATCATAAACTAGAAGATTTGCTCTTTCTAATGGCAACTAAAACTGCTAAATACGTTCACTATTTAAAAAATGGCCACGTTGAGGATTTTTGCCCGAGTACCGCCGAAAGGTACTTTTTCGCTGCATTAGCACTATTCCAACGACTATAGCTCCTTTCAGAGGCGATCACGTACTAAGGTGGGAGCAGATTCGAAATCATCGGTATGTCACCACTTCCGGAGGTAGGCGGTCTTGGATTGACCAGGCGGCCCTGGATTGAAACCGAACGCCCCGGGGCCTTAACGGGGTTTTTCAAGGTGGGAAGTTGCTGCAATGTGTGCAGCTACCCACATACAACCTCCAGGCACGGGAATTACTTCTCTAGCGTGCCTGAGCCCGACCTTTGCCTTTAAGTAACATTTTGAGTGACCCCTACGTCCTCAAGTTGATCGTTCCCATCATCCGTTATCTTCTTTTATCATTTTCTGTCCTACCACGTGCATGTTCTTATCCCACACTCTACATCATATCTGGAATACAGCGCCTCGATGCTGCTGAGTCGCGCGTTACGAATTTCGTATCACTCGCGTTCTGGGCCCTTTATCGGATCTTATCAGCTGGTTTCACCTTCACTCCCCTGCCGAATATGATCCCTTTTCATCCCCTATATCAGGCTACCTAAATCTAGAAAGAAGCGAAAACATGTGGCTACATGAGCACGACCGAATATAATTGTTTGAAGGGGTCTTATGATCTCTTACAGTGCTTCTAGTGTTGTGTTTGATATTGGGTAAATGTGGAAACATTTTGTTCTGCTAGAACGTATCTTTCGTTGAGTCTCTCCTAGCTTTTTTCAACAGCCAGGTGAACAATTTATTGCAAACTTTCAGTAAATATGTCGCATGCAGGGTTAATTTCTCTTTGTTTGCTCATCCTGCTTTTGTACAACATAGTAGTCGTATCGCTTGGTGGAAGTGCGTTCAGAACTATGCAGCCAGCGAAGTCGCTCACTTGAGGCGAACTCAGACTAGAATAAGTCTTCATTGATGAACTCATTCTCCTTGACTCATCACTCATTTGAGGTTGGCAGCACTAATCTCTACATATTCCACTTAGAATACCGCCCAACAGACACTGCTCCCATTCTCCCCGCTTGGGAGCGAGCATTATAGGTGATGGCGTCATTATCGCGACGAGCGCGATTTTTGCAAGCGCGCTCCCACGGACGGGCGCCTTTTTTGGCGCATCGGCCGCGGCAGTCCATACGGGCTGTCCCAGAAAACGCGCAAAGGATGAACGACGACGAATCAATCGCAGTTTCAACGCTTTCTTACTCGACAGTGACGAGGAAGTAGAAGAATCTGCAGTGGATTACGATGGCATTCTCACTGTCAATGACGAC